AAATTTCCCGTTAGTTTCGTAATTTTAAATAATTCTGCCAACTAGACAAAAGTTAATTGAGTAATTATATTTAGACATAGTAATAGATTCCCCACTAATGGCATAAACTCATCTTCTAGAAAATATATTTATATATATTAACAAGCTTCTTAGAAATTCTGACAATGACGTAGTCAGTAAACCTTCTAAACAATACTGTTATTAAAACTGACTAATGACTTACAATATAGAGATGTCCATCACCTAGGTTTAAGTAAATTGCGCAATGTAAGGTTTGCCACAAGAGCGGTTTGTTGACTTAATGAGTGTGTGCTGCCCTGTTTTTTAAAGATTCAGTTACGACAGGTACGAGTCTGACTTATTTATTTTTTGAATTATCTGGTTTGCAACCCAAGCATAATTTGATGAGTTAAGTTAACAGACTCTTAACTTTGAGTTTCGGAATATTAGGTAAGTCTCGATGGAATTTTGAATCTTGTCCAACTGGTTAAGTGGGTACTCCTTTTACTGGTAGTTATTGCCTCGGATGTAAAGAGGAAATACCAGCTATATATAGTAATAAAACAGTTATGTTGAAAGGTGGCTGGTTAGGCAGTTTTTTTTCCGGACGGTCAAACTGCTTATCACGGCTGCTCGACTTATTCACTTTGATAAGAGGCAAATTTCGCAGTTTAAGCACCTTCCACTCACCGCCCCTCCCGTCTCTTCCCGATCTACCTCCCCCAGGGGCCTCATTGGACTAAGCAATGATACATCGCAGCACCAAATTAACCAGTCAGGTAAACTGTTTAAAATTATACTAAATCATGCTTTACACCAGCCTACAGTTGAAATATCGTGAGAATTGCCTTGCAAGATTACATCCCACCCACCCGGAACCATTTGGAAGGCTTCCAATGTTGCGCAAGAGTTGCGAGAAAGCGTTAAACAAGTAAAGCCGGCTGAATTAAACATGCATGTTTTAGTTTTGTAGAGTTTACAGCCGAAAGTAGCATCAGGATGGCCTGTAACGTTATGACACGATACCGCATTAGACAAACAGACTCGATGAGTTGGAAAATAAAAACTCGCTGAAAATTGGCGATAATTTAAGAAGAAAAATGGCAAATGGGAATAACAATTCCAAAAAGTTTTAACATGCAATGCCTTTGAACTGTGCATTAGAAAGATAAGTCATGCACCTTTTGATAAAAGCTGGGATTTGCATTCTTCTTATCTCAATATTTTGAAATGACTCCTGAGTTCAAACCTTTCACAATATTATTACTGTTCAACAAAAACAGTTTAACCAGTAATGTGACTTTGATGGCTTGATTGCGCAATTTTAGGCGAAGCGCTGTACGCGGGGGTCTTTTGATATCTACCCGAAACTCCCCGAAACTCGTTCAACAGGTAAGCTTTATATATCGCTTCTTTGATTCTTTTTCGTCGTTATCTATTGAGATCATGTATGTAATGTGTGTACGTTTTGTATTTTGATTTTGGGGAAATTTAATGAATTTTGTGGCTTTGAAAGGCCATGAAGACATACTATTTAAATTGCGCAATACGACACCATTTGTATAACTACTCAACTAGTTTAGAAATTAGTTTCCTCTGGTTTTTTTTTTTTTTTTTGGGCTCTATTTTCAAACCAAGTTACTCAGTCGTTAATAAATCTTTAAACACAGTAGACTTTTCATGAAAATACTATAAAGCTAAATTTGCTAAATTTCGAGTCGGATCATCATAGGTCCAATTAAGTATTGCGCAAATCGAAAGTTTGGGGGTCAATTCTAGGTCTTGACTCGTTGAAAGACCCTTGAATTGCACAATCAGAGTAAGTCACTGACGCATTTAGATGAATAGTTTAGTAGGTAAGCTTTATTGCTGTGTTGATTCTTACATTTTTGTTTCAACATTGTTCTAACTTTTCTAGAAGAGGCTGAACAGGTCGTGCGAACGCGCACGTTTCAACTCACAACTTTTAAAACAAGTCAGTTGTTTTCAAATGATTAGCTTTATTTTAATCTCATCAGTATTTTTAGAGTTTAACTCACACGCTTCTTTTGGAGACTTAACGGTCGCTACGAATGTCTAATTAGGTTTTACATCGAGTCTAAGGATACAGCATCTGGCTCCATCCGGCCACTATTTAGCCGAGGAGTCAGAGTTATCTTTCTCTAGTTCAATGCTGACAAAAGAACAAGGACAATCCGGCGAGTTAGACTAGTTTAAAAGGGTTGCACTTCGAAGCTAGGTTAAACTAATATCGTGTTGAATTTTTGTTGCCATTCTTTCGCTGCGTGTTTTCTGGCCTAAGTCTTGGTTTCCAAGCCCTTAAATTAGTACTCCTTGATAGTACGACACACTGCATTCAAATGATAGTTAGTTGGAGCATCTTTTTGATTCCATGTCAGTTTGACGTGGAATTTGATTTGTCTGCGTTTGAAGGCAAAGCTGTGACTAAGAATTGCGTCAGACTTAAGGCGTTTATTTTATTGATCGATATTCCTTTTGAATTAAGAGAGCAATATCAGCATGGTTACGCCAACGTCTTGAATGTACGTGGTTGATTGGGGCCCGTGGATTTGGCAAATGCTGTGCAAATCGTTTGCCTACGATATCGAACGATATTTCTGGCGAGTTGTCGATAGTATATGGTCGTTTGTAGTATCGGAAACAAAGACAAAATGAAACGGATACTGTGTGGCTAGGCAGTATCATGATTCAAGATACGTACACTGGATCAGGCAAATTTACACTCGCGCCGTCGAGCTTGCCACCCATCCCGGCGTTTTTCATCGCATTTCCCACTGCAGCAAAACGAGGTTTGAAAAAGGAAATGATCAGTTGCTAAAAACAACCTCAAACCTTTTCTTTGCACCCCTCAATGGTTTTGTCTACTTGTGTCTCTCACCTTCTCTACTATTTACCAGCAGCCAGATTCCAGAATACTCGAGTCTTCTTCATTAAATTTTATTTTATTTGAACCTACCAAGAGAGATTTGAACACAACTCAGAAATAAGCAGGAAAAAGCTTGCAGTCATCTTTGCTATGTTAACTTGCTTGCTTTGATAGTTTGTCGAATTTTTTCTGATTTTGAACACTACAGCAATAACAAGAAATGTTACTGTTACGAGTGGAAACGTCTGCGTTCAGTCGGGGTGGCAATTACCAGTAGAAGCTGTTTTAGATTCAATCGTGTATCTTAAAGGAATAACCATTTTACAAACCAAACAGAGGTATCGAGAGGTAACTAATATTAACATTTCTTAGCGAATAAAATATGTAAACCATTTTTGTACTTTGTTTAATTCTTTATATCTTCGTCCAGACAATCCATTCTTTTAAATCTTGAGAGTCAACTTTACGACCGTTTGGTGTAGATTCACAGAACAGTCAACTTTCTCTAAGACGTTGGACACCTTTGGTACCGGCAGTAAGAGTCCGTCCTATAGAGTCAAGAGAGTCAAATGAATGGAGTCAAGAAAGGCAGGGACCAACTCTAGGTGTCCATTTTAGAGAGGTGTCCGTCTTATAGAGATGCCCGTTAAGAGATAATCAACTGTATTCTTTCTTATAACAGGACGTAACATGTCGATAATTCCGATAGTCGATAAAATTCGATTGTTGTCGATCGTTGTCGATACAAATCAATCGACAAATATCGGAAATCGATAAAAGTCGATCACACAATTTCTTGTGATTATCGACTTTGTTCGATTATGATTGATTTTGATCGACTTTGATCGATTTTGATCGATTTCAATCGACAAATACAAAATCGTAAATACAAAAAACGATGTATGGCGGGGAAAAAAGAGTACAGTTTGGCTATGCCAAGACTTCATTTTACCGCTCTTGTACTGTAATTGTAAGCTCGTATAAACCTTAATAACCACAGAGAAACTACCCTTTTCTTCCAGCAAAAGTATTTTATCTAGCAAATCATTTCAGATGGAATCTCTGAAATTCTTTCTGAAGTATGTGTTTTATAGCAGCTGTTATCACTGTAAGCAATGATTTATGCATATGCATATGTGTTTAAACCTAATTAAACTCCTGCGCTTATCAATCAAAACTTCAATTAGTTAAAAATGAATTTCCCAGTATGTTGTTTTGCTCCTATTGTCACCCTAACGATTAAAAGCTGTTATAACCGAACGTGATGTAATGTACACAACTGTTAACAATTCATCTACGCCTGGAACCAGGTTTCCTCCGAAAACATGCGATTAATTTTCTCCCCAAGAACTGTCATAAAATTAACCTGGGCGATCAGCCACAGAGATACCAGTGCCATCCAAACGTGAAGTAACTGAACCAAAATAGTCATGATGCATACTTGATTTAACGCAACGTTAAAAATTCCAAGGATAAAACAAACAATTTGTTGTAGAAAGATGACTTCTAGGTATGCTCCAAATGCATCCAAGAGAAAAAGAATATGGAAAAATAGATATAGAAGGCGTTCCTTTCGGTCATCGAAATAATAAAGACATAATGGGTTTTTCCTGAAACGAGGCCAATCTTCAAACGGAGGTTCAGTATTCCAGAACTTAAAAGAGAAAAAGGCGTGACCTCTCATGTTGTGGTCTTGTGATGCATCATGTAAAGTTGCTCGAGCACGACGAACTTTTTCTATCAAATCAGCTTTTTTTTCTTTCGATCTATAGGTTATGTTTAAGTCATCAAGGACTTCTTTCAATAAGCGAACAGTCATATCTTCCGGCGGCCCCATTTTTTTCCTTTCAGCTTCTTGCTTTTTTAGTGTCTCTTCTTTTTGAAGTCGTTCCTCCTCTGCTTTTTCTAGCTGCGGCAACAACGCCTCAAGAGCTTCTGCATTTACTTCTAAAGGACAATCCCTTCTTTCCAAAGGACCATTAAATGTCACTAAGTGTGTATTGCACTCGCTCCACATTACTTCAGTAGTTTCCGTCAATAGCCACTTTCCGTTGCCCTTTTTGGTGTGCGAGAGAACTTTGAAACACGCCGTAACTTTGTCTCTTACGTTGTTGTCTTTCTTCCATTCGAATACTGGTATTGCAGACTTCGCAGATGTCTTACGCAGCAAGCGTAAGACCTGGCCGCACTTTACACCGATCCCTGGTACAAAGAAAGCTGAAATGTCATTTAAGTAAAGTCCATTTGTAGTCTTTTTGGGACTTACAATTGCTTCAACTTTCTCATAAAAATCATTTCTTGCCACGGCCATCCACCTGGCCATTCTTGAAGTGGAGGGGTTGTACACTTTACCTTGTTGCAATGATAGGAAATTTGCAATGTGGTAGAATTTCCCCTCGTACTCCACGTAGTTCGGGGGAGAAAGCTGCTCTGTTGATGATGTTCCGGCGATGTATGCGGATCTTCTAGCTGTCTTTATAGCCGCTGACCCCTCTATTAATTCTTCATCTTCGACCTGCATACTTTTGTCGGATACTGATGCGGTTACACGATCGCTGAACATGTCTAGGCCACTGATGTTATCATGCGATTTGCACACGAAGGCATATCTTTGCCTTTCCATATCAGATGAGAATTTTAGTCCAAGACATGACTCGTGGAACCACCTCCCACATTCAGGAAAGTCACAACCAATCCAGTGTGTTGTTGAAGGTGGTTTAAAAGTAGCATCGACGTATTTGCATGTACCGGCCGGAAAGAAATTGCAGTGACTTGGGTCATCGTCATCCTCTATGGTTTCATCGGTTCCCTTCGCGATATATGCAGCTTGCGCTGAAGACGCAGCAAGATCAGTAAGAGAATGTGAGTAACACTGTTCATTTGCTTCTGCGACAGAACACAAAATGTCGTTGTCTAAGTCAAGTAGTTCATCGACAGTCATGCACTCATTTTCCTCAGGCTCAAAGGTTATGTCTACTAAGTTCGTCTCCATTCCTGGGTTGATGTAAATAATGTCACCATTTTCACCGGTTCGGAGAATGTTACTTGATGTAAGCAGGGGAAGCATACCTAGTGTCTCCATTGTTTTGATAACTTCTCTTTCCGCTTCTACAATACCACTTAAGATTTCATCATCGATCAAAGCAGGCCACGTAGCGGCTGCATCTCCCAGAGTCTTACTATTCCTCAGTTCTTCAAGTTTTACAATTCGTCCACAAATCTGAAGCAGGTCAAGCATGCATAAGTTCGTTTTACCTCGGTAGAATCCACGACAGGTCGAAAAGAGCCTTTCGCAGCTGTCAGATCCAAATGTCGAAGGATGGAAAGGTCGCTCAGGATAATACTCGGAAAATACTTTCATGGACAAAATCAGAGAGTGACCAGCAATAATCATATCATTGTAAGTTTGCAATGATATAAAAGAAGACTGTACTGGGTGCGTGGACTTCTCAATCCATGCTTTCCACAGCCTTACAAAGCAAACAGCTGACCACGCAAGCTTTGAGCGTTCCTTTACTGACAAGGTTTCCTCTGTAAAAGCTCTCAACATGTTGTTCCCTACTTTAAGATACATACGAAGTGCTTCTGTCCTTTGGTTGTCCGTTTCTTTCAAGCATTTGCGGACCTGTGGCTGCAAGATCCTTAACGCAGCATCCACATTTTGACGATCTTTTACAAAAATATCACTTTTCCACAGGCCACTTTCTAATTTCTTTGTTTCATACAATTGCATCAGCTCTTCAATCATAACAAAGCCGTTTCCTAGGACCAGAATTCGCCGCACGTTTAAGATTTGGTTGCGCCACTTCTTAATCAGGTGTTTCCAGTCAGGGAACATTAAGGTCGGAACAGCTACTCCGTCGATATCCTTTATGACACTCTGGAAATGAAAACCTCTATGAGGTATGGAAATTGTTCTATCCATGCCAGTTCTTGTCAAGAACTCCTCCATGAAGTACTTCCTAAACTTTGAGTCTCCATCTGCACCTATTCCTATTACTGGTAAATTATGTCGACGTCCATAGGTTATCGCAGCAGTAAACCAATTTGTCACTGTTACAAAATCTTGCCCTTTAACTACGGGTGAGATCGCAAGGACATAGCTCGGCACATGCTTTTGGAGAGGGGTTAAAACGAACGCATTAGCTAGTCGTGCCTTCTCTGTTGTCTCGCTATGTATCACTTCTATTATGTCCTGGGCGGTATGAACGAAAACGTCCTCCTCACTTGAAACTCCTATTACTTTGTTTCCCTTCACTCTTAGACCAGGTAAAATCGCTGTCGCATCGACAGCTAAAACATAAGGCCCCTTATAACCAATACGGTCATAAAAGGACGCTGCTTTTCCGAAAATACCTTCTTCTAGCTGAACAACCACAGAGAAACTACCCTTTTCTTCCAGCAAAAGTATTTTATTAAGCAAATAATTTCAGATGGAATCTCTGAAATTCTCTCTGAAGTATGTGTTTTATAGCAGCTGTTATCACTGTAAGCAATGATTTATGCATATGCATATGTGTTAAACCTAATTAAACTCCTACGCTTATCAATCAAAACTTCAATTAGTTAAAATTTAATTTCCCAGTATGTTGTTTGGCTCCTATTGTCACTCTAACGATTAAAAGCTGTTATAACTGAACATGATGTAATGTACACAACTGTTAACAAATTCAACTACGCCTGGAATTAATAAACAGTTCTGCTGAGTACCTGTGACTGACGTCGTTTTGGTCTGAACAAGGCTAGATCTGGCGAGATTAACTGTTTATAGCGGAGCTCCCGCGCGCGCGAAGCGCGCGCGCAGCGGAGCACCATGGGTAAGAAAATTTGGTAAACTATCCATCCAGTAGTTAGGTAATGAGCTATTCCCCCTCACCCTCACATGTTTTAAAATTAACCGCCAGCTCATCTCCGTCTCGCTGCCGGTTATCTTAAAATTACGAGAGAGGTGGATATAGCTCATTACCTAACTACTCTAAAACAAATAACAAAAGTGATTCAAAAAATAAAATTGAATTAAACGAAAAAATAAATATTTAATAGACATGCCCCATACAATGAAACAAGTGCTAAAAGTTACAGGTATATTAAAAGATAAACGAAAAAATAAAGATAGAATACCATATAGAATTGGAGGATTAATATTTCGAAGTGAAGATGATTATAAATTATTGAAATATATTGATGATAATGTTAGAGTACTAGAAAAATGTATGGAAGAGGGACTAACTAATTACGCTTATTATTTTTGCTCAATACAACCTATAAAAATAATACAGACTAATAGTGGGTGGCGAGAGGAATTAATTGGTTTGTTTCCCAATGTATCAGATTTAGCATATTATGACAAAGATGATAACTTAGAAGATATAAACGAATACAAAATTGGCACTTCATTTTTTTATTTGTTTAGAGTTAAGGATAAAAAAGGTAGGCTTATGTGGTTTCCCTGAAGTGAGGCAGAAAAAATAAAATTGAATTTAAGCTTAAAGATTACAAAGAAATTATATAAGATGGGTGTCAAATCCGCAAGTAACGCAAATAACTCGCAAAGTAACAGTGAAGATGAAAGGTTTGCGAAATATAGTACCAAACCTTACACAAAACACGGTTTAGTATTTGAGAGTGAAGTTGCTTATAAAAAACTCAAAGCAATTGATAAAAGTGCTAAAAAGATTATCGGTCTATTTGCACTTGGAATAATGGATATGAAGGCATTTTTCAGTAATTACGATAAAGTTAAAGTAAAAGAATCTTATGATGAAGCGTATGAGAATATTGAAATAATATTCCCAAACATTACAGAATTTAGTATGATGAAAGATGAAGATTGTCTCACAGAGTTACATTTTGCAGACAAATTTAATACACTATTAGATGTAGAATTCTTTCACTAAAATCCTATAACATTTTTGTTATAAGATTTTTGTTTTAATATAACCAATAAATTAGAATGTCGTTCAATGTAACACCAAGAGATGAAATTTTACCACTATACAAAGGTCATAATCTTGAAGTTTACATTAACTATGTTGATCTTAATAAAAAATGTCGAGATTTGAATCTATTGTTAACAACACAGAGTGAATATTATGATGATGTATTTGAAGGACCTCTTGCTATGGAAATAATGGATATTATTAGAAAGTTAATTGAAGAAACAGATTTAGCCTTTGATATTTCAGATATAGCCGACATTAGGCAGTTAAGGTACAACTTGTTAAGAAAAAAGAAGCCTGAAAAATACCCAGGATTACCTGAATTCAAGAATGCCTTTGTTAATCAGTTTTTCCGTTATAAATTAGCTGAAGATATAGATTTTGATTCTGATGCAGAAAATGATATAGATAATTCTTGATCTCATAAGACAAACCCTGTAATAGCCATTCTTTATTATTTCAGGCTTTAGTATCTTATTAGAATATCTGCTGTAGACTTTACCGCATTTGCTAACATAGTACCATTCCAAAATAGATGTAGAATTTTTTGATGATTAATCCTATAACATTTTTGTTATAAGATTTTTGTTTTACTATAACCAATAAATAAAATGGAACCACGTTCTAGAGAAACTACTCCTACAAAAGAGGATTTGGATTTTATAGTTGATGATGGATATCAACACGATGAGGACCCAGATTATGTTCCTCCTGAAAAATTTATTCTTACAGGAGACAAGTTTACAAGATTAACTAGAAGAGCTAAAAAACTTGGTGCAGAATCACTTGATTACTCAACCAGAAAAAATAATAAATATATGGCTACACTTCCAGGTGGAAAGAAAGTACATTTTGGTTCTCCAAAATATCCGGACTACTTAATACACAAGGATAAAGAGAGAAGAGACAAATATTTAGCTAGAGCTACAAAGATAAAAAATAAACAAGGAGAGTTAACTTATACAAATCCAGAATCGAGTAACTATTGGTCCGTTAATCTTCTTTGGCCAAAAAAAAATTGATTTTTTAATAGTAGTTTAAGAAATAAATTATAATTAACAAAATGCAGTTATCCAGTTACGATCATTTAACCAAAGACACCGTTATTTTTAAAGAAGCAAAAGAGTCAAAAGTAAAAGATAGTAATATTAAATACAAGCGTATACCAATTGAAATCAAATACCAAAATAACAAAAAAGGACCACTTGTAATCGAAACCCCATTTCTCTTTAGCTTTGGTGTTAGTGAAAAGAGAAATCAAGAAACAAAAAAGTTAGTAGGATATAGTATCCCAGTATGTCTTTGGGCGAAAGATAGCGAACCAAATGAAAAAGAAAAAGCGTTTTATGGTGCTATTAATAGTCTAACATCTTTGTCTATAGAACATTTAGAGAATGAATACGGACCAGATTTAGCCTCATCTCTTTCCCCACCTTTATACTACAAACAAGAAGAGTACACTGATAAAAAAGGAAAGAAGAAAACTAGAAAAGATCCCTCATCTGCACCAGTTCTCTATGCCAAACTTATTTACTCAGAAAAGTCAAAGAAAATTTTATCTTTGTTTAAAGGAAAGGGGGGAAAGGATCTAAATCCTTTTAAACTCATCAACCAGTACTGTAATGTGAAATTGGCATTGATAATAGAAGGAATTTTTATAAGTAAAACTGTAACATCTTTGCAAATAAAAGTTCACGAGTGCTATGTTAAACCACTCAAACCAAGAGAGTCTTTACTAACAATTGAAGAGGACAATGAAGAGGACAATGAAGATGACATTGAAGAATTAGTTGAAAGATTTGAGGAATTAAGATTATCTGATGAAGAGCCAAATGAGTGAATAGGATTTTATTTTTTAATACGAATTTCGTATTAAAAATCAACCAAATCCTTAGAACTAACCCATGAGTTAAATTTATCAGGATAACCACTCCATTTTACTAATGTCATTTTCTTCTTATTATCTCTCTTAATAATTTTTTCTATTCTAAATGTCTGCTGTTTTGCTTTTTGTAATTCTTGCTCGTAGAAAGAACCTTTAACCTCTTCTCCCATCAAATCAACAATGTTATACGTAACAGGTTTTGTTGGCAGAACTTTATCAATCACAAATATCTCCTCTGTCCAGTTTGGTGTGTAACCTTTATCAAATACCCGCCTCTTATATTTTGATATTCTAACTTTATCACCAATCGCAAACTTTGCTTTGCCTGGTTTCAAGTAGATTAAATCACCGTATAAATTAGACCAAACTTTATTTTCATTTTTCTTTTTACTTGCTTCAACAGGAGACATTTTTATACTAGAATGTCTAGCGTTATTGTAATCATCAACTAGTTTATCTATCTTATCCCAGTAAATAGTGTTGTTATTCACAGTAAACATCTTCCACATTCTGTTTTTCATAGTTTTATTCCATCTTTCAACAACACTAGATTTTTCCTCGTTTTCAGTGTGATACAACCTAATTCCTTTACTTTTAAGAAACTCTTTGAAATGTTTACTGATAAACTCAGAACCTTTATCAGTCCATAACATTTGAGGTTTACGTTTACTTTTGAATACATCCCCGAATGCTTTACTAACAGTTTCAGTTTTCTTATCTTTCAGCCCCCTAATCCAACCATACTTGCTAAACACATCAATAACCATCAAGAGATATTTAACTCCTTTGTTCCACTTACTAAACTTTTGCATTTCAACTAAATCAGCAGCCCAGATTTCATCAATTCCGTTTGAGACTACTGATCTCTTTTGAAAGTTTCTTGTGATTGGTTTGTGAAGTTCGTCGGCTAATTGTTGAGACCAATCACTACTCAACGCCGACTCGCGTTTAAACCAAGACCAAGTTTTTGTTTAGTATTAATTATTGTTCTGGCTAAAGTATGGCCCCATTGTCTTTCTTTCCAAGGAATAGCATCTAAGGATTTTACCATCTTTCTGTCTGCCTTATTTTTACACTTTCGGTTATCCCCGCAAACACTATAATCAACGTCATGCTGCATGGCAACAGCATCGGTTGGCCCAGTTGGTTGATCATAAATTTCTAATATTTCACCAGTTTCCGGATCATATCTTACTTGGTTTTCGAGATCGTTATAAGGACCTGTATATTTATGTCCTGGCAAGGTCCATCCACCTTTTGGTTTTGGTAATTTACCAATCTGCTTGTGAACATCAATTCCTTTTCCATCTAATTCTGGTCTGTCAGTTTTATACTTTTTATTTGGCCTCACTTTTGTTGATAGTTCATCCATGGCTGTTCCAACAGAATCTTGAATAAATGGAGTGAGTTTATTAATTCCATAATTTACAGCTTTCTTCTGAAGATTTTTGTTTCTCATTAACTCACTTGCTCCATATCGCCCCATTTCAACTGCTTTTTTACCCATCCAAGGAAGCCCGTAATGTACAAATCCATCAACTGCTGTACCAACAACTGTATCAAAGACGCCCGCCCCTTCAGACGGGCTGATTAGTTTTTTGACTTTCTTTTTCCACTTCCAGTTTGAGAAGCTGTTCCCGTTTTAACATATCTTACTTTTTTATTTCCACAAACTGCGCATCTACAAAAGAATTGAGTTCTACCTCTTTTATCTTGTTGGTAACCACTTGGCTCTGTACAAGGAGTTACTCTTTTATCTACGATACAATAAGTTTCTTTCATTTTATATAACGTTTAGATAAAAATTATGAATACCAGATCGAATTTTCTCAAAAGTGAGCTTCAAAAGATATACAATAGCCTAAACATGAGTTATGAATACGCTGATTTTTCTAGATTGGAAAACGATAATAAATTTATAAAAGTATTTGAGTTGCTTATGGAAATAAGTGAGAAATCAAATACGCTTAACAAAGTTGTAAAAGGTAATTATCTATTTATATAATAAATGGAAGCTAAATTCTTTTCTGAGATTGAAAAAAATATGGATGTTAAAACAATCAAGGATTTCGAGAAAGAAGTAAGGACAAAAATATATAATGAGTTGGAGTCTCTTAGAAAGAAAAACGAAGATCTTTCTAGAGTTCTGATGGTTGGTGAATGTGAGATGTGGAATAAAATAAGAAACGAGGAATATTCTTGGTTGGGACTAAATAGTGATAAAAAAAAGAAACTTTATCGTCTTATTGATATTTACTCTAATTTCATAGATATAGTTGATAGTGTTAAAGATTTAAATAAAAAAGTTGAGAGGGTTAAATCACTAAAAAATGTCCCAGATGAAGATTAAAAAAATAATATTTGTTAAATATTATTTTTACATTACGCGGCGTAGCCAAGGGAGGGGGTTTCGGGGGAACCGTAGGTTCACCCGCCAAAGTATTCTTGTATGAAATCGCTGTTATCATTATCAAAATTAGGGTTATGTATTACATCTAGAATACCTTTACCTTTTTGTCGCTCGAATAAATAATATAAACACCAATAACCACATAGAACAGTACTGCGATTTTGTATTTCATCCATTGAGTACACAATAGGTTTTACAGGTCCCGTGTGAAAATAGTCTAATACTTCGTTTGGCATTATCAGACCAAACGGATCAAAGTACTCAACTAAATTGTTTATATTTCTGTAACAAACCCAGTGTGTTCCAGGTCCACTAATATCATCCAGATTAATTATTCCACATTCTTTTCTAATCTTTTTTGGTAATCCATCACGACTATATATTCCTCTGAAATGTTTAATACCAAGTCTTTTTACCCATTCCATGAGGTCAAAGTTGGATAGAGGTTTAATTACAAAATGGAGTTTACAATGTTGAGAGGGAGGGGTGTTAGGGGCTGTTCCCCTTATAGAATTGTTCCTAGAATGGGAATTGAGTTGAATGGGCTGTTTTTTCCTAGAAGAAGACCCTTGCCTTTGGTCTTTTTTTTTTTAACTCCCATTCCTATAGGGTTGGACCATGTTCCAATAAAAGGAGGTGATTGATATGGATAACCTCCCCCATCTGTGGGTGGAACGTAAACATTTGCTATATTAGATGACCCACGTCTATCAACCTGAAGCCCCCCACCAAGCATCTTAGATACTAAACTAACTGCTAATGGAATTCCTATAGAAGCAAGTGTACCTAAAAATCCTCCTTCTATCTGTTTACGAGTTGGTTTTATAACTACTCCACTTCCTGATTGATAAGCTTTGTTAATTTGATTTATTTGTGATTTGGTAAATTCTCTTACAATTGGCGGTAGCATTGGGAAAAACTCTGGTGTAATTGGTATACCGTAGTGTCCCCCCTTTCCGAAGATTTTATTTAATCCTATTTCACCAAGTGCAGTGGCAGCTCCTGTAGCTAATGCGGGAACAGCTTTACTTATTCCTTTTATTGCGAAAGGAAGAACTTTTGCCCCAAGAGATGCAAGTGATGAAAATAAGTTTCCTCCGTGTTTTACAGATTTTCTAATTTGAGTTTTACTTATTTTTATATCTGATCCTGTGCCATTTGCAATAGATTTATTTATTTTGGCAATCTGTCTTTTTGTCAACATTAACTCATCATTTCCTCTAAGATGCGAATGTTTTAACCGAAGAGTCAAAGGTGACTGATTTATTATCGCAGAAGCCAGTTTTGTCTTTTGGCCATCTGTAAGTTTTACTCCGTATTCCATATAATTAGACATTTTATTTTAATGTTTATATTAAAATTCTTATTTTACGTGGCGTAGACAAGGAAAGGGGGTTATGGGGGGTGCCCGAAGGGCTTGAGTATTTTTCCCCCACGTGTAACCTCACGCGGCGCTACGAAGGGAGGGGGTTTCCCCGTTTGATATAATTAGATTTTATCTTCAAAATCTAATTTTAAAAATTGCTTTGTCATTAGAACCTTCTAGAAGCAGGGGGGTTTTGGGGGTGCAATCCCCCCATTCACATGATAATCTCGTGATTTTTTTCAACCAATCAAATGATTACACAGAATTTTTCACAAATGTGTAAAATGATGTGTAAAATGTTGTGTAACTTTAAAAGCTTGTGTAGAATGTTGTGTAAAAATGTTGTGTAACTTTAACAACTTGTGAAAAATTCTGTGTAACTTTAACAACTTGTGAAAAATTCTGTGTAATCATAACAACTTGTGGAAAATTCTGTGTAATCATATGCGGTGTATCTAAGGTAGGGATTCCCTTATGCACGAAGCAATAGTTTTCCATCTTGTTGTGATATTTCTGCTACTCTTTCATGTAAGACTAGCGCGTAAATATTATAATCAGCGTTTGGATTAGCAGACAACTCGTAATGAAATGCTAGTTTTGTGACTCCATCTTTTATATCCATTTTCTGTTTAGTCAAATCAAAATACACAAAAGGAAATAAAGTTTTGAAATTACTTCTATTGAGTAACGTTCCACCTTGATAATCATTATTTGCATAGACGTATGACATTACATTTCTAAAAACTCTTGACATATCTGTAGAAGGTTTAAAGTGAATATCTGGGTATTCGTTTCCATTTGCAACTTCCAGATAACATCTTGATATATTAGCATTATTTGGTAGATCAAAAGTGTCGTATACAAATGGATTTGCTGTTTGTGAATCAATTCTTGCTGTATCAATTCCAAAAATAAATACATGTCTTGGCTTTGAAATAGCATTTGTAATTCTAAAATGTCCTGTCTGTTGTTGTGTATTATTTGATCTTTCAACTACTTCATTCAAATATGTCCATTTGTAAGGTTTAAGATAATTTTCCATATACATCTTTTGTCCTTCTGAATTAAACGTAAGTTTTGGAATAAAAAGTTGTAGTCTTGTTATAATAACTCTACAATCATCAGCAGCTTTAAAAATTAAATTCGCATCTTTTTCAATCTCGATATTTAACTCGATTTTTGTATTAGGAAGTAGTTTATCTTCCAATGCTTCAAAGAAAGAATATCTATTAAGAGGAATTTCACAGTTTACTGTGGCTGATACACCTAGTAGTAATTTTCTTTTATGAAAACCTTTATTATAAGTTGCTTGAGCAGGTCTTTCCTCTGCGGCTCTTGAAGTATCAAGAAAATAAAATTCGTTTGTAGCAACACTCTCTGCATATGAAGGATTATACTCAAGCAAATTTTTAATATTTACAACATGATTCGCATAATTACAACTATAAACTTCTCGTCCATTTGCTAGGATACTTAATTTCTCTATAAATGAGTTACTACCATTTACAATTCCATTATGGTCGGCAACTGCTATGTTTCCTCCATCTGCCAGCTTATTTACTTTAAAATCCATTGATAATCTTGCGTTATACCAATCAAAAGGAGTGGATTCTCCTGTGTTATCAGCTACAAATCTAAGACCTGTTTTAGTTTGGTGAGCGTTATTTGCTGGAGCAGCATCTAAAGTCTGTTCCAGGTCATAAACAACATCCTCATATCTGTCTAAATATTTTGGATTTCTAAAAGACTTCATTTTATTTTAATAATTATATAATTTTCTCTTACGTGTTGAACCCCCACTAAGAAGGTTATTCAACATTTGATCTATCTCTTTTTGTGATATTTTTTTAGCAGGGGGGTTTTGGGGGGATGCAATCCCCCCAGCAGGGGGGTTTAGCAGGGGGGTTTTGGGGGCTTCCCCCTTTGATAACATTTGCACTATTTTATCACCGGCCTTTTTACCAACATGTTCACCGGTTTTTGTTGCGGCTGTTGTCACCGCTTTTTCAACTCCCTTTTTAGCGGCTTTTTTAAATGTCTTTCCAAATAATTTAGAACCAACAGATTTAAACACATCTGTTATTCCTTCACCATAAATATGTTGTCTTGTAAAAATACCCAAATCAGGGTCAAATCTCTTTTTATACTCTGATTGTCGCATCATTTTATTTTAATAGTTATATTAATGCGGCGTAGCCAAGGGAAAGGGGTGTTAGGGGAAAACCGTAGGTTTTCCCCTTATCTACATGGAGTGAAGTATCAAAGTCATAAACCAATCTATACCATTGAAATTTACAGGCCTTCCAAGTGAGTCTGTGACATATATTCTCATTTCATCAATGTGAAATGAAGAGACAGGGCAATACAATGGTCTTTTAGGCTCAAACGTAAATGGATAAGACCTTGTGAGATTGTCTGTTGGTATCACAGCAATGGTATTAGTATTTATTCCATTTACAATACTATCAGTTATCGCCGTTGTGTTGATATTTAACACATCAATCGAATTTGTTATATTTGGTAGTTTTGATCCGTACTCTGTTTTATTAATAAATTTCTTTTCAAAACCAATTAGGTCTCCAAATTCTGTTCCTCTCAGATCAAGTTGATAATCATCATCAAGTGATACTAACACACGATAGGTAGATAGTATAAAAGTTAGATTGATTGAATACTTCTTTGAACCTTTAGAATCCGTTGTGTGATGAGACTTTTGATCCATGTACTGATGAATGTAATCATTAATATCTGAGTAGGAATACATTCCATCTGTAAAAGTAATTGTTTGCCAGTTGGTTCCATCATGAGTGTATTTGATTTTATTGTTTTTATAATCACTTCTAATGTTGTACCAGGAATAAGTCATGGACAATCGATCAAGAGCAAGTTGGTGTTTCATTTCAGGGTCAAGTTTCAAAGATGGGTTAAATTTGATAGTAAAATCACCGGGTCTGCTTGTTCCTCTTTTTTCTCTGTTTATCGAAGAAATGTGAATAGCTCGTTCTTCCATTTTATCTTATGTTTACATTAACAGCAGGGGGGGGGTTTGGGTGGGGTGCCCCGAAGGGGCTTGTGCAATCCCCCCATTATAAATAAGTTTTCAACAAGTCATTTAGCTGTTTTTTTGAGATCACTTTCATTTGGTTTAGAAGATGAGCTATTTGAGAAAACTCATTTATCACACCATTATTCCCAGCTAGAATTGAACCACCAAGTAATTCAAGTCTGTTTAGAAGTTGATGTGGGTTGTTATAGTAAATCATTCCTTGTCCCATTTTATACTCAAGCGAACCTAAATAAAGTTCAAGAATGTTTTTGTATTTATGTAGTAAATCTTTTTGCATTTGAATAAATTCTATTTCCATTTTATCATCTTCTGTTTTTTGTTTTTTTCTCTTCAAACCAGCTATTTGTCCTGTAGTAACTTTTACATCATTTTTTACTTCATCACGTAGTCTTTCAGGGCTAGTATCAAAAAAATCATTTGGTCTTGGGTAACCCATATCCTTCAGTACTCCTAAATCCACATTGTCAAGATTTTTTTCAATGTTATAACGTGTAGGTGATCTTGGTCTAGATGTTGTAGGTTCATCATAATCACCTTCCAAAGCTGGTAATTCGGACATTTCAGCCAATCTTAAATTAGTTTCATTAATTTTTTCCAATCCTGATGTTAATGCAAGTTGATTAGCTTTGAGCTGTGCTATAGTTGCGTTTTGCTGATCATCAATACTTTTTTTAATAGAATCTTGAGATTTAATAAGTGGTTTAAATGTCTCTTTAAAACCTTCCCGCATATCTTGTTTTTGCCATTTTGTTGTTTTTATAACATCTCTAACCTGTTGAGTCAAAGCGTCAGCTTCAATTTTATTTCTTGCAAAATTTTTGAATTCTTCTATATCCATTTTATCTAATAGTTAAATAATTCTTGTAGCAGGGGGGACAAGGTCCCCCCATTTTATTTAATCATTAAATAAAATGGAAATACCAAATTATGATAGCGCCGATAACATTGATAAAAAATATAAACAGTTATTTCCTTTTATGCCAGCGGATACGTTTAGAATGTTAATCTGTGGAAACAGTGGAAGTGGTAAAACTAATTTGTTATATCATATGTTAATCAAACCACTGTTGCATTATGATGAGATTTATCTTTACGCACGTAATCTTGAACAGGATAAGTATCAAAAACTCATTAAAAAAATGAGGGAGTTAAGTAGTAAAATTGGATATGAAATACTTCATGTGAGTAACGATGAAATAACCCCGGTTACAGAAATTGATTACGAAGACAATCAAAAACTTGTGATATTTGATGATTACGTCTGTGATAAAAACCAGAGGCGTCTTATTGATTATTTTATTCAAGGACGACATAAGAATTGCTCTGTGATCTACCTCAGTCAATCATTTTACAAAACTCCAAAGGATATTCGTCTAAATTGTTCTCACTATTGTCTGTATGAATTTCCGTCATCGAGGGAAGCAAATCGCATATCATCCGAATTAGGAGTTGACAAAGAGGTGTATAAAGCAGCAACAAAGAAACCCTTTTCATTTTTATACATTGATAAACCAAAAAAACGTATTGCTAAAAACTTTACCGGAGGAATTGCATAAGGGGAACCCCCTCCTACTCAAATAATATAGTTATTAAATAAAATGGGAATATTTAACGAACAATCTTTTGATCTTCCTTTTGCTAAAGGAATTCAGGGTGCTCCAGGAGTTGGATTTAGTTTAACCGCAGATGGAAATTATGATATGAATAAAAAAAGACTCACAAATGTTGGAGCACCTAGTAATAATACTGATGCTGCTACTAAAAAGTATGTTGATGATAATTCCAGTGGTTCTCCCAAAACATCAGGATTGACAGTTGATTCAAATATTGATATGAAGGATAGGTACCGAATTACAAATCTTAGCACTCCACTGGACGGGAAAGAACCTCCTACAAAAGATTACGTAGACAACACATTTCTTGATAGAGATGGATCTTACCCAATGAAAGGTAATCTCAATATGGCTAATAATCGAATATTTAACCTACCAGCCCCAAATGGAAGTAATCAACCAACACCATTAGCTTTTACAGATTTAAAGTATGTTGCCCGTGATGGTTCATCTACAATGACTAATAATTTAAACATGGATAATAAAAAAATAGTTAACCTTAGACCACCAACATCAGACACTGACGGCGCAAACAAAAAGTATGTGGATGACTCAATACCTGATATCCGTTCTTTTATAAAAAAAGATGGAAGTGTACCAATGACTAATAACCTAAATCTTGGAAACAAAAAAATAGTTGGTCTCGCAACTCCAACATCAAACACAGACGCCGCAACCAAAAAGTATGTGGATGATAACGCAGGTGATCCAGATTTAAGCGATTACTTAGAAAAAGATGGTACTGTATCAATGACTGGGAACCTTAATGTTGGTAATAATAAAATAATAAATCTTAGTAAGCCAACCCAAGACAATGACGCGGTAAATAAAGATTACGCTGACAAACTGGTTCATCATACAGCAGTTCAACCAAGTCATTACAACGACCAGTTTGCTTATCTTATGTCAAGTGCTGCGCAATGGACTGATGAAATAACTAGCGGAACCAGTTTTGTTATAAAAAAAATAGGGGATTTAGCACCAAACCAAGGAAACTTTCACGATTATAACCACAAAGTTATTTATTTAGCTCTTAACAAAAATTCCCAAGGGGGATATAAGTACAAAATGGGAATCAACTTTTACAGGTTAACTGCTAATACCGATTACACTCTGTGTATGGAAATACTCAACACTGAATACGCTTTATGGCATAAGTCTCAAATAAGCGTGGACAAAGGAACTTCAACAGGATTATCAATTGGAAATGTTAGTATAAGGAAACTATCACATATATACACACAATCAAATGGGCGAGTAGCATTTATGTATTATCACAGAATAATAGTTAATTTCAAGAAGTTGTCAACTGGAAATAGGTTCTTTCTTCACATTTTGGTTAATATTCCACAAGACGGAATTGATCTGGCTACTTATCCGAGTCAGTTTTCAGGTGTTTATTTAGTAACTTATGGTATTGTGGGAAAAGTTAGCAATATCGATCCAGATAAAGTTTATGATTATCACACCGCATTTGATATCAAACCAACAGAAGTTGTGTTTAATGTTGATATTAATGCAAATAATAAAAAAATATTAAATGTTAATCTTGATAGAAATAATGATAATAGCGCAGCAACAGTTGGAATGGTAAAGGAAATAAAACCTCACACTATAAACGATTTATACAGAAATTATTTCGAAGAAGTTTATGATTTTACTAATGCCACTAATTACAAATTGAGTAGAACCTCATCAGGTATTGTTTTCAGATATTTATCTTCAAGTAGTGATAATACTTTAAGAGATATGAGTATGCCTCTTAGAACCATAGACGATATAAAAAAAGAGGGGCTAAATGTTAGTGATTATAATATTAGTTTTTCTCCTCCTGATAATATTACAAAATATACTTTATGCTTAATATTTTATCACTGGAGAAATAGATCATTTGGGTTATATAAAAGAGATACAAATGGTCGAAGTATTTTATTAACATTACGTTATTCTTCAGTTGGTAATTTATTATTTTTAGTTGTTAATAGTCAAAGAAGACAATTAACCTTGCCAAGTGATTTTAACGGAAAAAGAATTGTTATATGGTTAGCAGAAGATTTTAGCCAAAATATTACAAAAGTTAAAATAAGTAACTACAGCGCAATCTTAAGCTTACAATCCGTTAGATACACCAACGAACAAAATTTTATGTTTAATACTAAAGATGGAATTTTAAGTAAAATAATGTTTTCTCCAAACTTTTACGACATTGATTCAGAGCAATATCATAAAGTTATGCTTCAAGAAAAGTTAAATGGAAGTTATGTACTATAAGGTGGGGGGACCTTGTCCCCCCAAAACCCCCCCTGCTGCTACGCCGCATTAATATACGCAAAAGAATAAAATGAAGGATAAAATGAAAGATATCTTTGAGTTCAATCACATAGATAAATCTTTAAACAAAGAGGATATTGAAGTTTTAAAAGATTTTTACAAACACTACCATAAAAAATTTTGGTGTTTTAAAAGGTGTTACAAAAGATATAAGAATCTTGATGACAGTTTTACCATAACAGGAATTACCCTTATAGCTATAGGAACAATTGCTGGTGGAATAACTCTTAACCCTATTGTGTTAGGAGTTATAAATGGTGCTGGCATTATTGTAGCGGGTATTGGAAAGAATAAAAATTACAAGAAGAAAATAGAGTTATCAAGGATAGCTTATACAACATATGAGAAAACTCTTGTTGAATTAAGATCAGCTCTTAGAGGAGATGAATGGGATAAACAAGAGTTTGTTGATAGGATGAAACTGATAGATGAAATTATAATTGATCAAACTCCTATATCAGATAAGTTTGCTAAAAAATATAAAAATAAGTTTGTAGAGGAAACTCCTCCTAAAATAATCTAAGCAAGAGATAAATGGAGGAGATACGCGCTCTAAAAAAAAATTTTATAAAAAATTTTGAAACTACTCTATCCTCTGTCGGAAAAGATTTGGTAAAGGAAATGGAACAGAAATATAGCATCGACGACCAAATTTGTCTTGATTACGCGATGAGCCTTTGCCATAAGATTACTAAAATGGAAGGAGTTAGCGCAGAAGATGAGAAAAAGTGTCAGGAGTTTATAAAAATTTTTTATTATTTGGATGAGATTAAATCCTTGAGCTAATTCAGATATCTGAAAGTATATTTTTGACCGTTTATTTTAGAAGTCGCTGTTTTACAATATTTTTGTTCATCACATATCATTTTAACATGGCCTGAATTTATTCCCAACATTTTTCCAGCAGAATACAAACTCTTAAAATTTGTTTCTTCTTTTGAAAACAAATTTACTGCCAAAACACTCTTTGGATTTTTGCGAATATCTTTTAGAAAAGTATAATTTTTGTTTCTTATTGATTTTCTAATATTTTCGCTTGGAGAAACGACTTCCAAATTTTTTATACAATTATCAGTTCTAATAAAATTTATATGATTAATCTGTTTGTTTTTTTCTATTATGCCATAAAAGCACTCGTAAACGAATCTATGCGTTAAATATTTTTTAGTCTTATTTTCTTGTTTTATATATATACCGATATGAAAATAACCATCATGATAAAGATTTCCTTTTCGCGGTTTTCCCAGTTTGACATGAATAATTTCACCGTCTTCACTCGCCGCGTATTTTTTATATAAAGGATGTATAAAAAACTTTTTTCCATTTGCTAAAATAAATTTTTTCATTTTATTTCAATATTTATTTCTTTAAACAAAGATTTATTTTATCCAAGTATAATATAAAAGATGTTGAAGGAGATTGTAGCTTATGTAAATTTTAGATTTCCTGCTGTTAAATCACAATTTTATAACGATAACTTTATCAAAGCTTGTCTTGTTTATGAGTATTTATACGCAAAGTATTTCAACCAAGTGATGGATTTGAATAAAATTATTAACAAACTATCTGCTGACAGACATTCTATTAGTACTAAATCTGTGGTTTTGACTAACCATTTAATTTTCAATTTAGGTTTCAAAGCTTTTTGGAGCCACTTCAAACTTGGAAGAGGCTGTGTTTATGTTTTTGACTCTGGTTTTCAAGAAAATGAGGTTATCGGATATTTAACAGGAATTTTATACTGGGTTTTCCATGGGGGGGTTGATTAATTTTATAATACTACTATTATAAAATTTAAAGCAGGGGGGCTTTGGGGGGGTGCAATCCCCCCACTCTTAATTCAACATAACTTTCCCACCATTTGTCATAATATTCTCTTGTTTGAGATGAAATATTAAGTGAGATTTTGTTTTTTGAGCCTATTTCCCCCAAAATTCTATTTATGATATAAAAGATGTTGATCATTCTCTTACGGCTAAACTTTTTATTTACATCTTTCATAACTTTCTCATCTATTTCCATTAACTTTCTGTATAATTCATCCTTTTCCTCTCCTGTCAAATTTGGAATCTGTTTTATCTTTTTTTCGTAATAGTATTTTCGCTGGTAGACGCTTTTCTTCCTGAAATATAATCTGTCATATTCTTTGGGATCAAAGTAACCTAATACGTGCCCATTTGTTGATCCACATTCTTCACAGATCTTGTAACCAAAATCTATTGTAAAAGACGTTCTTTTTTCGCAATTAGTGCATTTAGCTTTCAAATTTGGTTCATCTGAGAGATTTTTAGTATAATTATGCAAAATTTCTAAATATTTTTTTATTTGATCTTCCGAAAAAGACATTTTTTTAGTTTTTTTTAATTTTTAACTTTTATCTTATTGCGAGAGTATGAATTTGATCATCTAAGACAATTCGTTTGTCGTCATCCCTTGATAAAGCTATCTTATTTACCTCTTTTGAAAATATGTCATGTTTATCTGACTGAATTACCTTCATACTCCGCATTTCTTTCTCACCCGTGAATAGGCAGTTATAATAATTTTCAAATTTAATTTCTTTTTCAATCACAGTCTTTGTTATTCCCTTACACTTCTTAGTTTCTTTTTCTTCTTCTACTTTATAGCTATAAAGCTTTGGACGAAGACCAATAAAATGTGTTATTTGTTTCCCTGCTGCTTCATCCTTGAACATCCCTATCACTTTTTTGTTTACGCCCGTTAGTATTCCTGAAGGATGTTCTTTTGGGTAATCTGATGTGTCAAACTTAGCTTCTATATCAGGGGCGATATCCTTGTAAAAGTCTTTTGTGCGAATTTCATACATCAAACTATCAGTATCTGTAAACAATAGTTCAGCTTTGTTCCCATATTTTGGTTTAATATAGTTGTAATGGAAATCAAACATCAATGTTTTGGACAAATCTAACACTGCCTGGCCTGTATAAACAGGTTTATTAAAATATACCTCTGTTTTTTGCATATGGACAGCAATTAAATTTTCATCAAAAATTACCGCACTTTCAAAGTTGGGCTGTTTTGTAAGTTTGAAAGCTTTTTTGCGATTATCAACCAATTTTATATTTTGTCTTTTTCTAATATTTTCTATCGTCTTCCCAAAAACAGAGTTATTCATAAGTTTAAAAAAGTCTTTCTCAAAACCGATTTTAGCTTCCATTCTTAGTTTTGTATTTTTATCAATATAAGGCGCCATCCAAGATTTTTGTCTAAATGATATTCCCTTATGCACAGCTTTTAATTTCAATCCCATCTCTAGGCACTGCCTTAAAGCCCGATAATGAATTACATAGTTTTTTCTCGGTTTGAAATGAGAAATCAGTTTTTCAACTTTATTTACTTCTATCTTTTCAGGTGCTAGTGGATAGTCATTATGTGTTTTCCATAACTTTTCTGGATACTCTAAATCAACCTCAAAAATGTAACCTGTTTTTCCATGATTTGACATGCTATGATTTGCTTTTTCAAGAATTTCCATAACTTTATCTTTTGTAATATTTTTCATCCATTTAAAACCATGAGTAGGAAGATTTTGTGACATTGCCCAACCATAAAGATTATTAGCATCAAGATATTGTATATATTTTGTTGATTTTTCAGGATCGTAAGATTTCATATATGGATTATTAGCTTCAGCATATCTTTTGGATATATGAGACACACCGCCACGTATACCTCTTTCAAACATCATTAGCATATCATAATCTTCTAATAAATGTAGTTCTTGTTTCGTTTCTTTAAGGCAGGCATCCCAAGCAAGACCAGGAGTTGTATAATAATGGGCGGGATCAAGATTGTAATGTTTCATACAAGTTTTCCTGAAGTTTTCAAACACATCAGCAAGAAGCATAACATCAGACTTAAGATATAGATCATGATAATCTCTGATTGTTTTACAATTGAATTCATCCCATACTCGAATAGCATGGTTATAATCTTCTTCGGATATATGCTCATTTTTTAGCTTTGAATAAAACTCTTCTTTTGGTGGTAGTTGTGTTTCCGATAATTTATCTAATGAAGAAACATAATCATAGGGATAGACTCCTTTTCGTTTAAACAATTCAGAATGTTGTTTGAACTCTCTTTTTAGGTTTACTAAATCTTTGAATTCTTGATTTTTAACAAGTTTTTCTAGAGATGTTTGTTGAAATTTATAAGAGTCTATGAAACGAATTTCAAAATATATAGGAACCATTTCCCCTTTTTTTGATCTATATTCGCCAACTTTAATTTTTTTAGAAAACGATATATATTTCTCTTCAGTTGAAGGAATACAACTTAATTCTCCTTGTAAACTTCCCAGTTGCTTTATAAATAAATGGGCATCATATCCTTGAAGATTATGAAATATAACTGGTAAAACTCTCGGTTTTCTACAATTAAGATTACACTTGTTATGAGCAGCACCTCTGTACTGACCTGTAAAATGGCAGTGATCTCTAACTTTATCTTTCAATAATTCTGTCTCGCAAATATGGCAAATTTTAGCTTCTTCAAATAATATTTTTTCATCTTGACTGATAATAAGAGGTTTTGGTCTCCGATAAAAATCATTATAAATAACTCTAGTTGCTTCCGCAATTCTTTCTACAAATATTTTTGCTATATCTTCTCCTTCCTCTTTTATAGTATAAACTATTGGTTTCATTCTTTTTCCTGAAATTCCTTTAATATAAAAACAAAATCCTGACGGGGTATGTTTTTGGTAATTATAATTGTATGGTTCTTCTGGATTAAATTTAGGAGTAGTAATTGGTTTAGTAAAACACTCAAAATCCGCATAAACCACAAAAGGATTTAAAAATTTATTAGAATGGTTCCTAAATTTAAAAAGCGTTTTTCCTGGTTTAGGCATTACAATAAAAACTGCCCCATTTTTCTTACAGTAAAAAATATGTCTTTGTAATAATCTTTCTTTTGTAAAACCATTAAGGCATCTTTTACAAATATGAATAGGCTCATCTGTTCTTTTTGTAATCTGTGACCTTAGTAGACGGGAAAAATTTTTAATCAGTGAGTAATGACATTTTCCATCCTCTTCATAAAGAAATAAATCTATTGAATTTTGTGGGTCCTTCAAAGCCAACCTTAAAGTATAAAACTTTTTGTTAGAATTAACCGAGAATACATTGATGCCTGGTAAATTGGGGTTAGCATTTTCAAATTTAGCTATATCTTTGATTTTAACCGGAAAAACGAATCCTTTTGGAATTTTGATCTCATGCTCATATTGTTTTAAATCTGTTAAACGGCTATCATTTATTTCTCTTGGATGAAGATAACGAAGTATGCTCCACAAGAAACATTTATCATCTTTGTTTCTAATACTTACAATCGCTTTCTTTCTCATTATCCAATCTGGAAGAGGTATGTAGGATGAACCTCCCAAAGGATCATATTTGACAGTTTTAATTAATAGTTTAATAATTTCTTTAAAATACCATCCACTACCACTTCGTTGATAACTACTAATATTTTCCATAATTCTATTTATGGCTTTTGTTATCAATTCTTTTGCATTAGTTGATCTAAGATTAGTAAGTTTACCCGAACTAAAAAACGATTTGTCTTGAATGTCAACTGTTTTTTTATTTTCTACTTGAATTTTTTCCATCTTACATTCCAAAACAATTGTTACTATTGTGTTTCTATGATTTTTGATAAAACTTTTGATAATAGATTTCTTATTTTGAAAAAATTCTAAAGGAAAAATACCAGGTTCTCCATTTATTACATAATCACCGGCAAAATCTTTTAAAGCTGATCTCTCTTTCACTATTCCTTGTTCATACTCTTTCATAGCTCTTCTAAGGGCCTTTCTAAAATAAGGAGGAGTATCTGGCGGTATCTTTTTATTTTTAATACATTCTTGAAAATACTCATCAAAAGATTTGGGTTTTGATTTCTTTTTGTTATTTTCCCCTTTATTTATTTTTTGGTTAACTTTATCTATTTTTCTAATATCACGAATTAGTTTTTCTCTATAATTTTTCCTTAATAATTTTTTTTTCTGCTTTAGTACTTTTTTTAATTCGGTTATTGATAAACTCGAATAATCAGCCATGGCCTTTATAATTTTAGTATATTATTTTTTTAATTCAATTTTATTTTTTGAATCACTTTTGTTATTTGTTTTAGAGTAGTTAGGTAATGAGCTATATCCACCTCTCTCGTAATTTTAAGATAACCGGCAGCGAGACGGAGATGAGCTGGCGGTTAATTTTAAAACATGTGAGGGTGAGGGGGAATAGCTCATTACCTAACTACTCCATCCCAGAAAATTTGGTTATGACGTAGCGTACGCCCGTCCGTACACACACTTCATGTAAGCCGATGTCAAATGTCACAATAGATCTTGCACAACTTGACTAGCCTCTCAGTTATGTAAGCCATCCGTATGAGTACGATTAGATTGACAGCTGTCAAAATCAGACATCCGCTGACAATTATCACATGACCGTCTCGCGGGCTCAGATAAAAGACCAGTCGTTTTGCCCCTATATATAAGCTGATATAATATGTCACACTTACCAATTCAACATAAAAACGAAACTACGCCGGCCAAGGCTGTCAGTTGGCTGACAGTCGTTTAAAGTTACATTGGCAGGCCAAATTAAGGTCAATTGACAGCTGTAAAAATGGGACATGTGCAGACCGCTATCAGAAAACTAATAACGAGGGCTCAGGTTCGGTCAGGTACACGATCTGGCATTTTCCACTACATGCCGGACGGAAATGTCCTAACAACACTCGCAGTCTGTTAATTCGAATATTCGCCATTCTAATGAAGGTTAATTGACAGCTGTCAAACTAGAGTATACGCTGACCATTATCACCTGAGGGGGTCGCGGGCTCATTTTTCTATCTATTGAGGTCACGTAGTGTTTAAAGTTTTGCCCCGGTTTTTTTTTTTTTATCACGGGCTCAATTCGAAGCCCCATAGCTTTGGATAGAAAATCTATCCATCCTAGAAAATTCGGCAATCACGTGACCGTACACTGACCACCCGACCTTCCGTCCTTCCGCACCACAGGCATACCAATGTTTAAACTCACACTTTCTAGCTAGTTTGGGAGCCTGCAACCTGATATTGTACATCCATGTTTTGATTAATTGACAGCTGTCAAAACAGTGTTTCTGCTGACCAGTATCGCCTGACCGTATCGCGGGTTCAGGTATCGACCCTCTGAGTTCGAGTAATATTTTGAAGGTATTCGCTGACAAGTTGCTACTTTTAAAATGATCGCAGGCTCAAGTTCAATTTTTTTAAAATGCATATGAAATAAGTCGTGTTTCATGAGTCGCACTTTTAAAATGTTGATTTCAAACTGATCTCGGACACGAAAATTCAACCGGCTTTTACATTTACATGCAGGGAAGGCAATCGCTTTTGAATTTTCTCACTGTCACGCGCTGATCACGCTCTACGTCCAACTTTTATGTTCTGATTGGTCAAAATTTGACAGCTGAGTTTATGCGGAAAATTTTTGCTGCGTCTGGAAACTTGCTTACTGATAGCTGGAGCTGAGAGAGTTTTGTGTCATCTTGTGATGTTTTAAACTGTCTTTTTCTACTTGGTGTACAAAATGAAATACAGCTGCTATCAAGATCGTTCTGTAATTCGTGGCTGGTTTGTTTATTGCGCTTTTTGTTGACAAATGCACTGCTTGTCAAAGTCATTGGAAATCCGATTTCGGATGGCATCGTTTTCAAAAATGAGCTTACTCACTTGCCCTTGCCTGAGGCGTAAGAAGGTTAAAAAGTCTCAAGCGATTCTGGAACACTTGATGACCTTCAGAAGCAGCATCTCGACTGGTAAGCTTGAGCCATTATTGCTTTTGATGTTTTTTTTTTTCTTTTTTCGGTTTCCTGAAGTCGAGCGTATGGTTTATGCGGCTTAAGTTAAAACACGAGCAATGATCTAACCTACAATAGTATCAGGTTTAAAAAGCCTTTAGACATTTTTTGACCCGCAAATTCAAAGAAAAGGTTCCGAAGATTATTTAGTTATGATTTTGGCTGTAAACAGAAAGCTCTGATCGATTTTCTTGCCTCGAGTTCATCTTGAAAAAGAGCGAACACCGGGAAGCCGGCTTCAAACGTAAATAAGCTTATGCTTGCCTGACTCATTATTTTCTGAGACACTTTACTCTCAATTCCTCTCTTCGTGAATGAAAATTATTGTCTCTGTACCTGTTTCACCGAATTAAACTTATTTTATTGATTGTTAGTAGTCCCTCTCGCAATTTTCATCGCTGCACCGGTTGTTTCCAGTCGAACATAAACATCGCATGTAGGAATACTCAAAACGCCGCGCGTAAATATCACTCGCTTTTAAAGATCACACATAACAAAATCATATACAGTTTAATGAATAAAGGGAAATAAAACCTAAACACAACAATTTCTCTTTCATGTTGAAGCGTAAATGGTAACTCTATTAATCGCACTACAAATTTGGTGCCTGTCAAAAGTGAGAACCCGTCCGGCTGGCCGAAAAGTGATTTTGGGAATTTTTTTATCGTTTTCATTAAAAGCCCATAATTATTACCCCGCATATCACAGAGGACCAGATTTTTCTAACAGAAAACGTTTTATAATTCAATCATGTTCAATGCTATAATTTGCTGTGCAAAGGAAGCGCGTGCTTTGATCGTCGTGGATATTGAATGAGTGCAAATTCTCTTGCAAAATTGTGAAAAACTGCAGAATTATAGGTTTAAATAGGGCAAAAAAGAACAAATTCTGTCCGAGGTCTGTGTACAGTTTACCTGAGACGTGATGAGAAAAAGTGTGTTTAAAAGGCTGGTTTACACGCCACCAGATTCGTCGCCAAGATTTACTAGTAAACTAAACTTGTCGAACACAAAAAATCCGGCCTGATTTTTGTTTTGGCCTCTCTTTTAGACAGAGGAATGCAACGTGTAAATTGGCTGCCACCAAGGACTATCGTGGCGCATGTGTTTCTTAAAATTATATTTCGGGGTTGTCAAATTATCCATAGTCTCTCTAACGGAGCAATGTTGGAGAGACTGGTGAATGCCACATTATGATGCTACAGCTAATGCAAATACAATACACGAAGATTATACACGAATAGGTCTATTTGTTTTCCAGGCCTAATCTACTGTGATCGAACATGATTGCTATTTTTCGGGGTACAAATAACTTGATGTAAAATTTGTTTCACTCTTGGACGGTCAAATTCTGATTTTTCTCTAAACTCACTCAGCCTTTGCCTCAAAAGTCAAATGAATGTGCCCTGATCTGTGGATTACAAGTTTATTGTTTGATTTAAATTATGAATTTATTAACGGGAGCTTCGCTTTTAGCCCTGGCTAAATCTATATATTACACGGGTTCATATTTTCTGATACTGAGCAATCGCAATTCGTTGTATTGTTACTGTCATACGTAGGTTGCGGACTGGTACAACAATCATAGGCGCAAGGAGAAGCAAGGGGCATACAAACCCGGCGAATATAGCCAACCTAGCGGAGAGAGAAGAGAGTCGTAGCCGCAGCTTGTGTTTGTCAAATGTTGAACTGAGTAAAATCACTGACGAAAATAAAATGCCAATTTACCTTACTTTTTAATTACTTTTCTGGCCTCAATTTTTTCCCGCATCCAGTCTAAACTTTGATCTGTTCTGTTCCCTCTAAGAAACACGACTTCGAGTTCCCAGGATCTCTCATCTCTCCCACCAAGAGAGACTCTGGGAACTAGGTTGGTCCGAGTTATGTTACGGATCGCGATTTCGCTCAGCTGAAGCTGTTAATCAATCATTTCTCGAGGTAATTTAAACATTCTATTCTACAATGAATAACAGACCACTTGGTTGTTTAGCTTTATTGCCATACAGATTTACAGAGATTTACTTTAGAGCTTTTTACACTTTCATAAAAAAGCTGAAAAAAGTCATTCGAGCTATTATTGGTTTGGTTACTTGAATTTCGTAGCTGATTGAAAAATTTGTCGATAAAATCGATAAACAGTTAAAAATCTTGTGATTATCGACTTTTATCAACAAATTTGACTTGTCGATTGACAATTATCGACAAATTTCGAGTACTATTGACTTATCGACTACGTTTTCGATGATCGACTTTGATCGACATGTTACGTCCTGTTATAAGCCTCAGTGATCTGCTCTTGATTATTCTAGATTCTAAAAGACCCTGTTTGGGGACCAGGAGATAAAACAGTACATGCAGCCAGGCTGATGAATGACTCCCAATTTGTGGACATCGCTTGATCGTTTAATAAAGGCGCGGCTCGGCCTCTTACAATTGTGGGTGAAGATGGCGACAGAACTCAGAGCAAAACGTTCAAAGTCAAGAATATGCACTACACACACAAATTTAATTATATACCGAAAGATACGTTCTAGAGTGATTTTAAGTAACCCCTAAAATTGGTAGTAGAATACTACGCACTATTACACCTCCTTTCGAATTAGCGAACCTCTCCCTCGCTCTCGACTTAAATTAATTAAGCCCTAGGGCGCTTATTTGCGCACAAACGGTATTTTTACATTTTAAGAGCGAATGCACAGAAAAATCGAGCAAAATCGGCAAATCGTGGCCACAGCTCAAAACCTAACTTAACCTCATTTTCAGTCTGTAATAAGGTTTTAATGAGTTTATCACACTGCTGAGGTTTAAATTTCAAAATGCGGCCGAGTTTGGGAATTATTTAAGATTTTCGATTTCAACGGTCTGGGGGCCTAAAATTAGCCGCCGAGCACGGCAATATAGCCTAGCGACAGAAATGAGCTGACTTTCATAAACGAGCGAATAT